TGACAGGGGCGGTGCCTACTCCCTATCGGCCCTGCTCTGTGCGTGACAGGGGCAGTGCCTACCCCCTGATGGGCCCTGCTCTGTGCATGACAGGAGGTGGCGCCGCAACCTCCCCATCGACCCTGCCTTGAGTGTGACAGGGGGTGGCACCCCAACCCCCTGATCGGCCCTGCTCTGCGGGTGACAGGGGGTGGTGCCCTAACTCCCCTATTGGCCCTACTCTGTGCGTGACAGGGGGGAGCTCCCCAACCCCCTGATGGGCCCTGCTCTGTGCATGACAGGGGGGAGCTCCCCAACCCCCTGATGGGCCCTGCTCTGTGCATGATAGGGGGCAGCGCCCAACCCCCTGATTGGCCCTGCTCTGTGCGTGACAGGGGGTGGCGCCGAAACCTCCCCATCGACCCTGCCTTGAGTGTGACAGGGGGCGGTGCCCCAACCCCCCAATCGGCCCTACCCTGAGCGTGACTGAGGGTGGCATCGCAACCTCCCAATCCGCCCTGCTCTGTGCATGACAGGGGGCGGCGCCCCAACTCCCCAATCAGCCCTGCTCTGAGCCCGACCAGGGGCTGCACCTAGGAGCAGGCCTAAGCCAGCAAGTCGTTATCTCCCGAGGGGTCCCAGAATGTGAGAGGGCACAGGCCGGGCTGAGGGACCCCCCCTTCCCCCCCGAGTGCACAAATTTTTGTGCACCGGGCCTCTAGTCATATATATAAAACCCTAATATGCAAATACTACTAGACCGAACAGCCAAACTGAAGCATCCATTGTATATAAAAACTGCTGTTTGAAGTTTTAACCCTGCTATTGTGGCTCCTGTGAATGCTTGCTTGCTTGCTTAAATAATAAGGAAAATAAGACTACTCCCATTCCAGAGAGGCCATAAACCTTCCCCAGACGAAGTTATCAGTGTTGGCACCAGGCCAGACCTTTGGTTGAGGTCTCAAAGCCCCAGCACATAGGGCTCTTTAAGAACTTGCAGAGGGGACCAGAAAACACCATATTTGGGAGACAAAGAAGGTAAAAAGATATAAATAGGGAAACATCCTCCATGTTGGGGCCCAGAATTTGAAATATAGTTTTCTCTCGGCCTGCGTGTAATAATAATAATAATAAAGTGTAACTCCATCTGTCTAAGCATTGCTTGGTTCTTCTCCAGTCTTCTGTAACAGAACAACTGGTTGCTATGATGTGTGCTGACCATCAGTGGGTGCGAGTGGGGCTGGCGCCGTCAGCGCCACATGGGAGGGGCGGCGGTGGGAGTGGGGCTGCTGGCAGACAGGAGACTGGGGGCCGCAGTGAGTGGGGCTGGGTAGGAGTGCAGAGGATGGGCCAAGACCCACCCCTGTGCCCACTGCAGCCTCACAGCCCACAGTTCCTTTCAAGGTGCATGAATTTGTGCACTGGGCTCCTAGTATCTGCATAATAGGTTGTCGGAGATTCTCTGTTCATTGCTTATCTGTATCTTCCAATTAGCCTATCCCTCATTATCTTTTGCCCTAAAGCCTACTTTAATTCTAGAATTAGAGTCAAAATCTGTGTATTCCTATATAATTGTTCCAGTAACATTTTCTTTAGTTGTTTTTGCCACTAATTTATTTATCATCAAGTTCCTCATTTTGCCTATCTAGCTGGACTAATTGATATTTAATGGTTCTTTGAGTTCTTGGCTGACTATAAAAATTTAGATGTAGTGATTCCTATAAGAGTCACTTGATGTTTTTAATAAATACTTCTTAGACCAGTGGTTCTCAACCTTCCTAATGCCATGACCCTTTAATACAGTTCCTCATGTTGTGGTGACCCCCAACCATAAAATTATTTTCGTTGCTACTTCATAACTGTAATTTTGCTACTGTTATGAATCATAATGTAAATATCTGATATGCAGGATGTATTTTCATTGTTACAAATTGAATATAATTAAAGCATAGTGATTAAGTACGAAAACAATGTATAATTATATTTGTGTTTTCCGATGGTCTTAGGCGACCCACAGGTTGAGAACCGCTGTCTTAGACCATTTATTAAAATGTTTGTTAAGATGATTGGAGATAAACTTTGATGGCTGTTCCTCTTACTGCTTGCAGCCTTAAGTAGTGGGATTTTAGTCCATCATATATCTAAGCTGACTTGTCTTCACTCAGAGCACCATGGGATGGGTTGGCTGTCCATTAGTGCCTTCTGATTTTTGCGGAGTCAAACAATTATAAGCCAGGTGGTAATGTTGGATTAAAAAAATTTACCTGTGATTAATAAAAAAATAAATTAATTTTAAAACCTGAGGATATAATCTATAGAGAAATCTTTAATTGTAATAGTATTTGAATGACACTGATCTGGGCTATATGAGAAAGAGCTCTAGTAAATTGCTGAAACATACTATTCTGAAGTCATGCATTTTTAAATGGTTTACTCAGGTTTTCTACTGAGTGATTGTTCACATATTCAGGGCAATAGTAAAAACTTTTTTTTTCTTTTGCAGTATGAAGGTGTAGATGGAAGCTGACTTCTCACCAAAAATGGCTTATAGAATCAACTTGAAAAACATGAGGCAGCAAACAAAGGAAAGAGTAAAATATTTATTTTATCATCCTTAAATTCTTTGCTAGATTGTAAACTTCATGAAAGCAGGATAACTTCCCTATCCTTAACACCTGGTCTATAATAAATACTCAAAAAATAATTTTGAAGTGAATCAATTTCCATTAATTTTATTATTTTTTAATCCCTGGAAAATGGCAACCATTTTAATGGGATTTCAGCAAGACATTTAAATAGAAAAACTGGGAATTAATTTTGACTCTAATGTAAACTGTATATATAGGTGCATTAAACTCTCTGGGTACTAGTGAGTCTACTTAAAAATCTTTCTTTTTTTTTGAAATAAAAATTACTTATTTTTATTTATTTATTTTATATTTTTATTTATTTCAGAGAGGAAAGGAAAGGGAGAGAGAGATAGAAACATCAATGATGAGAGAGAATCATTGATTGGCTGCCTCCTGCACACTCCCTACTGGGGATTGAATCCACAACCTGGGCATGTGCCCCTGGCTGGAACTGAACCTGGGACCCTTAAGTTCGCAGACCAACGCTCTATCCACTGAGCCAAACCGGCTACGGCACTTACTGATTTTTAGAGGGGGAGGAAGGGGAGAAAGAGAAACATTGATTTGCTCTTCCACTTACATATGCACTCGTTGGTTGATTCCTGTATGTGCCTTGATTGGGTATCAAACCCATAACCTTGGCATATGAGAATGACCCTCTAACCCAGCCAGAACCTAAAACTTAATATCTGATTATGATGTTTGATCCTTTAAGAGGCAATATAGAATGGTTGTGAAAACTATGTATGTGAGGAATAGATATGCAAAAGCTTACTGATATTTAATGGGCAATCTTTTATTAACATTTTATAGCCTTATTGGATATTTATCTTTGGTTTAAATTGCACATACCAGTCAAGAATGGTTAAAAAGTCATTAATTTTAGAGGGGAAGAGGTGGAAGAGGGCATAGAGAGGATAAATGATGATGGGAAAAAATAAAGTGTTTTGGTTTTTTTTTAAGTCATTATTTCTGCTTTATATTTAACTAGAGGCCTGGTGCATGAAATTCGAGCACGGGTAGGGTCCCTAGGCCTGGCCATTGATTAGGGCCCATCGGGGCCTTCCTTCATTCCGCGCCGCCCCCTGATGGCCAGTGTACATCATAGTGAGCAATCGAATCCTGGTCGAACTCCTGAGGGGACACTTTGCATATTAGCCTTTTATATATATAGATGTTGAAATATTCTCAGTTGTTCTAGCTAAATTATAGTACAGGGAATTTTTTGCCCCATATACTGTACTTATATCCATGAGAATGTAAAGTACATGCAAAGTGTGTAAAATACACATCCAAATATTGGAATTCTGCTATACTTCACTCTGGTTTGGAATATAATTTAATACTCATACTTATACCAGAATCACACAAATGGTATGCAACTATAATAACCTGTTGGAATATGAAGCCTGTTCTTTAGAATGGATGATGCTAACAGTGTAATATTCAATGATAATGAGGGAAAAGTACTATCATAATCTGGCTGATAGGTACTTAGAATATCTATTCAAAATCAAACTTCATGGTAACTAGCATTTTTGAAAGGTGAAAGTAACCTGTGATTAAATGGTATAAGTTATATATAAGCACAAATAGTGCTGCCATTTTATCCAGACTCCTATGTTAGGAAAAATGGAATAAAGTTCAAACTTTAAAATTATAGAAAAGCAAAGAATATAACATTGGGATAGATAAAAGTACAAAAGGAATGACTGATTTGTGTATAGTAAAATTCAAACTTATGTTTGCGTGCCATGTAACTGACAAAGGATTCCATATAAATCAAGAAAATGATCAAATAATATGAGTGGGCAAGTCACAGATGAGGACCTTGAAAAGATGTTTAATCTCACTAGTAAAGAGTTACAAATTAAAACATTGAGATACCATTTCACTGCCATCAGATCGGCTAATGTTGAAACAAAAAACCTGACACTTTCACATGTTGATGGGTCTGGAACAATAGGATCTCATCTTCGCTGATGGCAAAGAAATTTAACTTATATTTTGGAGAATGGTTTGGCAACAACTAGATTTAAAAAATAT